GCTGGGACCACAGGCACCCACCACAAGGCCTGACTATTTTTTTCAGAAATAGGGTCTTGCTCTAGCTCAGGGTGGTCTTGAACTCGTGAGCTCAAGTGATCCACCTGCCTCAGTCTTCCAGAGTGCTAGGATTACAGGCCACTGCGCTGGCCATACATTTAATTCTTGCACATACTTCCTTGGAAAAACGTTCAGTGGACATCAGTTCATTTGGCTTTTGCTTTAGAAGTATATTTAAAGTGTCCATTTCTTTGGGAAATGAGTTGTTTGACCTCATAAGTTCCTTCGTGGTCAATATTTTAGAATTAAGTCATTAAAAATTTCTCTCCTAACATCTGCCTTCTCCTTCCTTGACAAATTGCCCAAATTGTTTAATTTCTCATTATTGATTCTACGACCAATAGAATGAACCAACTTGGTGGCAAGGACTTATTTGATTCTGGTGTTAGAAGTATTGATTTAGATGAGATATCTGATTGAGATGAGATAGGGAAAGTTACACACAGAAGACTTACTTATATGAAGTGGGAATAGTACCTAATTTGACTTTTAAAAGTCAAATAATATACTTCAAAGAACTTGGAAAGTTTGTGTTTCATAGTGTAAGTTGTTTGGTTTCCCTTTCTTAACGGCCATGTGGTTTCTTAAAACTCGTATGGTCATTTGCAGATCTAAAACTGAGGCATACCAGAATTGATGCGATATATTCTGGCATATATTTTGGAGTTCAGATTGATAACCTTAGCTTTGTTAGACTTCATTACAGAAATGTGTACTGTTGGCTGGGCACCCATAGTTCAGTGGTTAGAGTTCTGGCCTAGTACACCGGGGCTGGCGAGCTTGAACCCGGCCTAGACTTGCTAAACAACAATGACAACTACAATAACAATAAAAAAATAGCTGGAGGTTGTGGCGGGTGCCTGTCATCCAGCTACTTGTGAGGCTGAGGCAAGAGAATCGCTTAAGCCCAAGAGTTTGAGGTTGCTCTGAGCTGTGATGCTATGGCACTCTACAGAGGGTGACATAGTAAGATTCCATCTCAAAAAGAAAAAAAAAAGCATACTGTTGACTCATTTTCTTATTGTTGTGCTATTAATGCATCTAATCATCTAGAATCCAAAGACTGTTGTAGAGTCAGGTCTTTTTTTTTTTTTTTTTGAGACAGAGCCTCAAGCTGTCCCCCTGGGCAGAGTGCCGTGGCATTACAGCTCACAGCAACCTCCATCTCCAGGGCTCAAGCGAGTCTCCTGCCTCCGCCTCCCAGGTAGCTGGGACCACAGGCGCCCGCCACAACGCCCGGCTATTTTTTTTGGTTGCAGCCATCATTGTTGTTTTGGCGGGTCCGGGCTGGGGATTCGAACCCGCCACCTTAGGTGTACGTGGCTGGCGCCTTAGCTGGCTGAGCTACAGGCGCCGAGCCTAGAGTCAGGTCTTAACTTTTAGCTCTTTCAGTGTGATAGGATCTTTTAGGAGAGGAAGAAGATGAAGCAATGAGTACAAGAATAGGGGCACAGAGCCCAAATTTTCAAGGGTGGGGCTTGGAGGAATGGTTTATAGTTTTGAGAAATTCATTTGTGACAGCTTTTGAAAATTTAAGCTTGGAATGCTGGTAAAAAAAAAAAAACTTCTTAAGAAATTATTGTATCATTATTATACGACTTTGCTGATTTTGGTAACAAAATTCTGGCTAAAATTACTCCATTATGGAAATATATGGGATGGGGCTTAGAGATACTTTGGTACATATTGATGCTATACCAGCTGTTATTGTGAGGAGTCATCTTTTCGTCTGAATATCTTTTGTTGTGAATCTGTGTCTATGAAAGATTAAACATCGAGGTTTTCCTGAGATACCAGACCTTCAGTTTTAAACCTGGAATAGTCCAGGGCAAACTGGGTCTCTTACATTTAGTGACTGCAAAGATTAATACAGAGAAAAAGATAAGAAGGATTTTACTGAAAGCTTCTTTATGAAAAGAAATTGCTTTGCTTATTAAAATAAGACTCAGCTTGTTTATTAGTGTTAGCATATTAAAATGCATAGGTTTGTCTGTCAGATTTAAAATATGTTTGTGAAAATTTCATGTGTCAATTAATCTTGAGGTGTAGGGTACTTTATTTTTACTATTTGAGTGCTGATCATTTGCTAGCACTATGGCAGGTGACTTTATTATAAAATCAAGTTTTCTTTAGCAATCTGAGGTAAAACATTCCAATTAAGGAAACCAAACTTAAGTAATATAAATGATTTATGGAGGTCACATAGCTGATAGATAGCCAAGGTAGATTAGGGTCTTAGGATTCTTGATTCTCAATTTTGAGTAGTTTTTCATCAGAATTAATAATAGAGATATAAACCAGATACTAATAAATATGATAAGATCTACAAAGGAAGGTCATCCCTGGTGTCCTTCTAGACATACAGACCACTAGCGATGGTTAAATTTAACTTTTTCAGAGGGCCTAGTTTTGAAAACTCCAATAAAAAGATAGGAACCATCACTTTAAAAAGAGGTAGGCATACCAATTTTTGCATATAATTTCAGTGGCATTATAGATCAGATAATGAGCTTCTGTATTAAAAGGAGATATAGTTATTCTATAATCAGTTTATCTAGAGTTATGCTGTTTATCTAAACTATGTTTTCATAAGCAGAGTATAGAATAAAGAAGGTAAAATAACTGGATTTAGTGTAGGTTTTTTAAAAAAGTTTTTTTTTTTTGGTTTTGCTTGCCTCATGTTATAATATTCTCAGACAATATAATTTACTGTTACACAGTGATAGCAAGCATTATCTCATGTGTCACTTTTAATACAATCCATATTCTTCAGGTAAAAAGAACGTATTCTCATGGTACTTATAGAGCTGGCCCAATGCGACAAATAAGCTTGGTGGGAGCAGTTGATGAAGAAGTGGGAGATTACTTCCCTGAGTTCCTCGACATGTTGGAAAATTCACCATTTTTAAAAGTAAGAAAATAGTATCACAATCTAAATTGTGGGTGTTGCTTTCATGCTACAAGCGATACAAATGGCCATTTCAAAATTAGGAAAATGTTGGTTTTATGAGAATTGGAGATAAAGGGAGAGATGGGAAACTGAAGTGATTAATTTCTTGTGTGGTGTGGACAAGTGACTTCCTAAGTCCTAATTATAATGGCAAAGCTAATGGACTGAAACATTAACACCTGATATTTCCACTTTGGAAATTAAGAGCTATCTATTATCAAGCTGTTTGTAAACTGAGTACCAAATAATTTAGGAAGTACAGGAAGGATGTTTACTAAATCAAAATGTTTTAAGGCAAAGGAACAGCAATTTGATATTGCGGAAAACTGGTCTGCAAAATTTAACGTTCATATTTTAGTTTTGGCTAAGCCTAGCTCAGTTGGGTGAGCTGTTGAAACTTTCTGGGCTTTAGTTTCATGATCCATAACATAAGATGTTTGGACAGTGTAGCTCAAGGCCCCTTTAAATAGTTTCTAGGCAGATTCCTTCTATTTTTTTTTTTTAAACATTGTCTGCATTTCAGAAAATTTTCACTATTGTGAGCTGCTGTGGCCATTCTACTGAGAGAGAAATCTCTGAGTTGTGCAGATGGGTTAATTATTTAATCAGTAATTCAGAGGTCAATATGGAGCTACACTAAAATTAGAGTCCAGATGAGCAACAGATTTTGGCAAGATTAGATTATCTGTAATATCACATAATCTGTTGAACATCCTTTTTCTTTGTTCTTAAAATGTTATTTGTTTATTTATTTGTAGACAGAGTCTTACTCTGTCATCCTGGGCAGAGTGCAGTGGGGTCATCATTGCTCACTGCAACCTCAAACTCCTGGGCTCAAGCAATCCTGCCTCAGATATCTGAGTAGCTGGGACTATAGGTACATGCCATCATGCCAGCTAATTTTTTCTATTTTTCATGGAAGCTGTGCTCAGGCTGGTCTAGAATGCCTGACCTGAAGCAATCCTCCCACTTTGGCCTCCCAGAGTGCTAGGATTATAAGACATGAGCCACTGTGTTGGCCTCTTCCTCTTTGTTTTCACTTCTGTTTGCTCAAATTTTCTACCCTATAAGTGCATATATCTTTTTCTCCCCCTTCTTTCTCTTTCACTCTGTTCCATTCCCTTTTGTTTCCATTTGTATTCTTTTAAAACTTCTTATTCCTTTTCTGTTTGTCTAAAACTGTCACATCAGGAATTTGGTTACTTTTGCTTGATATTTTTAAGAAATGACTGATAGTTGCTTCCAATTTTATTTTCAAAGTAAATAAGCTAAACACATTCTTTCCAAGGAAGTTTGATTGCCCAATCCTCCCCTTTTTGAAAAGGGAGCATAGGATGGTTTTTTAAAATACCATTTTCACTCTTCCGTGGACAGTGGCCCACAGTCTCATCTCTTCTTTGAAGTCTTCTCTTTCATCTCCTTCATTCAGTCTTTTTTCTGTTTTCTCTCTTTTTTTCTTCCTCTTCCCCTTTGTCTCGCTCTAACTCTAATCTGTTGTTTGTTTTTATAGTATTTTAATCTCTGATTTAGTCCAACAACCTCTTCAGGAAACTACTAAACAGAAATAAATTTTTATTTTGGTTTAGTTTTCCATTTTTTTTTGTTTGTTTTTGGTTATCATTAATCAGAAGTATCCATTTCTTAAGCTCACATTTCATTCTTAATTATGAATAGATTCTTATGGAAAGTACCTGCTTATTTTGTCAAATTACTGACATCATATGACCCATGTTTGGTAGAAGAAAGAATAACAAATGATGGATACAGAATCATACCTCCGGAAGGTCAGGGAATGGAAGCATCTAAGCATAATTATTCTCTTCGTGTGTTTAAGTAGAACTTCTGAAGCAAAATGCACGAATATATTGGGATGTATTCAGTAATTAAGTGTGTAATTCAAATGCTTAAGTATAAAAGTTTATATGAAAGTGTGTTTCTCAGGCAAGCAATATTCTTTAATATGCACTTGAAGATACATTTGACACTAATTGGATCCTATGTAATTATTGTCTCTAGTGTACACTGCCATGGGGGACACTATCTAGTCTAAAATTAGAGAGTAGAAAAGATAGTGATGATGGTCCCATCATGTGGGTGCGTCCAGGAGAACAAATGATCCCTGTGGCTGACATGCCAAAGTCACCTTTCAAAAGGAAAAGGTATGTTGCATACAAATTTGTGTTGCCAGGGATGGGTATTTATGTGTTGGGTTATGTCTGTTTGTGCATTGAGTTATGTGTGTTTGTCCCTTGAAAATTGGAGAAGGGAGGAGGGGACAGTTCCCACACAGGGATAGGGAACCTGCAGCCTTCTTATGTCAAGATTTTATTTATTTATTTTTTCTGAGACAGACTCTTAACTCCTTCGCCCTGGATAGAGCACAGTGGTGTCATCATAGCTCATTGCAACCTCTAGCTTTGGGGCACAAGAGATCGTTGTGTTTCTGCGTTTAAGTAGCTGGGACTAGAGGAATGGACCACCATGTCCAGCTAATTTTTCTGTTTTTGTTTGTTTGTTTGTTTGTTTTTTGGTAGAGACGGTGTCTCTCTTAGGGTGGTATATTTAGTCTCAAACACCTGGCCTAAAGCAGTCCTCCCCTACCTCAGCCTCCCATAGTTCTGGGATTATAGTTGTGAGCCACCATGTCCAGCTTGCTATTATTATTTTTTTTCTACTAAAAATAGAAAAAAATTAGCCAGGCATGGTGGCACGCACCTGTGGTCCTACCTACTTGGGAGACTAAGGCAGAAGGAACAGTTTAACCTAGAAGTTCAACTGCAGTGAGTTATAAGCAGGCTTTTTGCACTTTAGCCTAAGCAGTAGAATGAGACCCTGTTTCCAAAAAAACAAAAGAAAGAAAAAACTACATATGCTGATAGAATTTGTTATAAAGTATCAACTACAAATAAGACATGAAGAATTTAGGGAACTGACAATAAATTGTAATTAGGAATGAAAATGTCATTCACACAGATATTATCAACAAGAAATATGTAGAACTTGTATTAAGGAAACTAAAACATCTCATAGAGGATATAAAATGCAATCAAAAGAAATGGAAAGCTATTCTGTGTTCTGGATTGGATAAAAATGATATTTCTTTAATTTTTTTTAAATTTCCTTTGGACTCTTCACTTCTATCACTGAATACCATGATTTTATGTTTATAAGGAAGAAAACTTTTCAGTGAAAGGAAGAGCTTATGTTACTGAATACTAAAAATTACTGTGAAGGTCAAATAGTAGATTGTTATTTGGAATAACTGGATAAAGTTCAGAAACAGATCTCACTATATTGGGAACTTAATCTATAAGGTAGGTGGGAAAAGGAAGATTCATTTAACAAATAATGCTAGTAGTAAAGGACAGTTAATCTAGAGAAAAGCAAAGAGCCTGTACCTCAAATAAGAATTAAATTAGAGAATTAAACTAACAGTTAATAAAACAAAACATTAGAATAAAAATTTTAAGTCTAGATGAGGGAGACCTTCCTAAGTAAGACAAAGTGGCAATACTATTTGGGAGAGAAGAGATTATCAACAACAAAGTTAACAACTGTGATAGACAGGGCTAAGATACTTGTTAAGGTGATAGGCTAAAGTTAATGTACAAAGAGCATTCTCAGACTGACAAGAAAATGTAATCAGCCCAGTCGGAAAATAGACCTTAGGTGGTTAAATGTATTTTAAAAGAACTAAGATTTTTTTTTTTAATCAATTATATTGGCAAAAATTATTAATAGAGCAATAATATTTATAGATTACAGATATATGGATGAAGTCTTTTATATATTGACAGAATGGTGAGCTGCTATCATCATTTTGTAAGCATAATCTGGCAATAGTTCATAAAATTTAGTATATATCTCTTTGATATAGCATCTCTACTCTTGTTAATCTATCTCAAGAAATAAATGGACTATTGGCCAGGTGGTGGCTCACGCCTGTAATCCTGGCACTCTGGGAGGCTGAGGTGGGTGGATTGCCTGAGCTCATGAGTCTAGACCAGCCTTAGCCAGAGTCAGACCTCATCTCTAAAAATAGCCAGGTATTTATGGCAGGCGCCGGTAGTCCCAGCTGCGTGGGAGGCTGAGGCAGGAGAATCGCTTGAACCCAAGAGTTTGGGGTTGCCATGAGGTTTAATGCCATAGCACTGTACTGAGGGTGATAAAGTAAGACTATCTCAAAAAAAAAAGAAAGAAAGAAATGGACTAATGGTAAATAATTAAGAATGTTAATTGTAGCATTGTTCGTAGTGAAAAAAAAAGTTTGAAATGTTGGGCAGCGCCTGTGGCTCAAAGGAGTAGGGCATCAGCCCCATACACCGGAGGTGGTAGGTTCAAACCTGGCCCTGGCCAAAAACTGCAAAAAAAAAAAAAAAGTTTAAAATGTTCTGAATGTCTAGCAGCAGGGGAATGGTTGAATAGATTTTGTACATTTCTATTGAAGATTATGGTGAAATAGTTACAATAGAGTTTTTTAAAAATGTGTTTTGATCAGCTTGGATATCTAAGACATTTGAAAACAACCAAATGTAGAATAATGTGTGTAGTATGACTTTATTTTTTTTTTGAAAAGAAATAAGACCCACGTGTAAATGTATATTTATGTCAGCACAGAGAAAGATGTGGAAAAATGTATACTGGGTTAACATTGGTGGTAATGGAGCATATGAGGCTGTGGGAGATAATAGGTTTTTCTTTGGATACCTAAAGATGGTTTTACTGGTTATAGTAATTATTAATTTAAAAAGAACTAGGAAAAAAGTCGGTTTTACTGGTTACAGTAATTACTAATTTAAAAAGAATTAGGAAAACAGTCATTGAGTAAACTGTAGATTATATGAAGGCAGAGACTGTTTTGAGCTTGTTACTAATGTGTCTCTAGCACCTCTATACTACGTCTAGTGCTTAATAACTATTAATTTTTTTTTTTTTTTGAGACAGAGTCTCACTTTGTTGCCCTCAGTAGAATGCCATGGTGTGATAGCTCACAGCAACCTCAAACTCTTGGGTTCAGGTGATTTTCTTGCCTCAGCTTCCAAAGTAGCTGGGACTACAGGTGCCCACTACAATGCCCAGCTAATTTTAGAGACAAGGTCTCACTCTTGCTCAGGCTGGTCTCTCTGAGTCCACCTGCCTCAGCCTCCTAGAGTGCTAGGACTAGGTGTGAGCCATCAAACCTGGCCTATTTATTGATAAATGCAATTTTAAAAGTTAATTTATAAACTGGTAGTAAATGGTAAAATTGATGTTTCTCAATGATTTTTAACTTCTTTTAGAGTTTATGAATCATTTCGATAATTTGAAAGCCTCTTTCCAGAACAATGCAGGCATAAGCAGACTCAAGAGCTTCCACGCACCTCAGGGCATATAACCCATGGTGTGTGTGATGTTTTCACCTTACTCTGACCAACTAATAACAACACTATACCAGGCACTGTGCTTAGTGCTGTATATACAAGGTCTGATAATTAAGTTTGTGCCACAAAAAGTGCTACATACTTCATTGCTGAATATCCCTGTGGTTACCTTTGAAGTACTCCCCTTGGGAAGCTATGTACCAATGGCAGCATCTAGTCCACACTTCAAAGCAGTTTTGGAACTCTTTTTTTGGAATGGCCATTAGAGCTGTTGTCATATTACCTGTGATTTCTTTGGTTTTTTTGTGGGGGGGGGGCAATCTCACTTTTTCATCCTGGGTAAAGTGCTGTGGGGTCATAGCTCACAGCAACCTCAAACTCGTGGGTTGAAGTAATAATCTTGCCTCAAACTTCTGAGTAGCTGGGACTATAGGCACTCGGTACAATGCCCAGCTAGTTTTTAGAGATGGGGTGTCTCTCTAGCTCAGGCTGGTCTCAAATTCATGAGCTCAAGCAGTCCACCTGCGATGTCTTGAATGTCATCAAAATATCTTCCAATCAGTATTTCCTTTAAAAGGAAAAAAGTTACTAGGGGCCAAATCAGGTGAGTAGGGAGGATATTCCATCGCAGTTACTTGTTTACTGGCTAAAAACTTGCTCACAGACAGTGCCAGGTGAGCTGGTGCATTGTTGCAATGCAAGAGCCATGAATTGTTGGCCAAGATTTTCAGTTAAGATTTTCCTAATTGGCTGGGTGTAGTGGCTCACACCTGTAATCCTAGCACGCTGGGAGGCCAAGGTGAGGGGATCGCTTGACTTCAGGAGTTTTAGACCAGCCTGAGCAAGAGCAAGACCCTATTTCTACTAAAAAAACAGAAAAACTAACTGGGCATTGTGGCAAGTGCCTGTAGTGTCAGCTGCTGAGGAGGCTGAGGCAAAGAGGATCACTTGAGCCTGTAGCTAGGGGTCAACAGACAAAGGGACAATAAATTCTCTGGAGTGTGCGCGCGTGCATGCACACACACACACACACACACTCTTTATCTTCACCCAGAGAGACAACACTGTATCAACCTTTAACAAGGCAGATAGGTGCTGCCTCAAGTCGAATTTTGAAGGCCTTTTTATTGGGGTTTGGGGGGCATGCATATATAAAGTAAAAAAGTGGGAAGGTATCACTTTCATGTTTCAATTAAACAGTCAGTCTTTTGTTCAAGGAAGAGAGTTATCAGAGTGAAGGACTGTGGAGCACTGAGCTACGTATCAAAGGACACTGTGGTAGAGTTCTTTTTTTTTTTTTTTTTTTTTTGAGACAGAGCCTCAAGCTATCCCCCTGGGTAGAGTGCTGTGGCATCACAGCTCACAGCAACCTCCAACTCCTGGGCTCAAGCGAGTCTTCTGCCTCAGTCTCCCAAGTAGCTGGGACCACAGGCGCCCGCCACAGTGCCCGGCTATTTTTTGGTTGCAGCCGTCGTTGTTTGGTGGGTCCGGGCTGGATTTGAACCCACCACCTTAGGTGTATGTGGCTGGCGCCTTAGCCACTTGAGCCACAGGTGCCGAGCCTGTGGTAGAGTTCTTAATGAGGGAAGGTTACAGGTTAGATAGCTATAGCTTGAGGGTAATTTTCAGTTGGTTTTTAGCTTTATTTATATCCTGTCTCTAAGCTCCTGATCTATAGCTAGACATTTCCCAGACTAGCTACTCATCTACTTTGCTGGACATTCTGACCCTCCCTTACCACCTTAGATGTACAGAGGAGCAGTGGGATGGTCTGCTATGCTTCTCATAGTTAGCTGATGATTTTGGTGCACAATTCAACAGATTTGCAATGTTTTCGTCAGTTCTGATCACTGTCGATCATCCTGACCCCTCTTCATCAGTGATACTTTCTCTCCCCTTAGAAAAACATTTAATCCATTTGCACACTTCCATTTTCTTCATAGCATTATCCCCATAAATTTGGACTAACATGTCCCTGATTTCACTTCCAGTCTTGCCAAATTTAACAAGAATTTACCAGTGTTTGGTGCTCTAATTTAACTTCCAACTTTCTTGTGAGGGCACAGAAAAACACACAAGAACAATACCACCACTCAGCAAGACAGTGCTACACATCGACAAAAACACAGTTGTGAGACATTGAGACACTGAGGTCATGAAACCTTACAGAATTGTTTGTACAGTGCTGGCAACATTAGTGTACATTGTTATGTTTGTGAACTTAATTGTCAGACTTCATAGTTCTTAATTCATCAGAATGTGGTGCTAATGATACCTGTTGATTCCATAGGAAACAGCGTCCTCATTTAGCTTTCTGACACATGTAGAACATTAATCACAAAGAACAAAAATGTACAGTTTAGTATCATTTATATCTGTGTGTTTTAAGATTATAATGCAGGGGGCACACAAAGAGCAGTAAGTAGTAGGGATTAAGGATGAGATATTAAAGAACTAATAAAAGTACAGTGACCCTTAGGAAGGTATACTAGGATGAGTTGAGACAATTATGGAGGTGATTGAGTTGTCTCTTGAAGCAACCAGAAAACCATAGAGGAAATACATGAGATTATGACTCCGCGGAGAAGTTCTCACCCTTTTCCCCTTGGATAGCAGAATTGGAGAGGTTTCTGTCATGAGTGAAACTAAGTAGGGAACAGCTTCTACATGCACCTATATTTGAGATTGTGAGCAGCAGAAGAGACAGCTACTTGGAGGTGATTGTTGTTTAAGACAGAGCTAAGGGTTTTTCCTTTCTATCTCCAATAAACCATGCCTATTTTGTAGAAACACTTACTGTCTGGTATTTTCATGCTAATTTATTTATTTTGTCCTCTCACTAGAATATAACTTGCATGAGAATGGGGATCTCATCTGTCTTAGTGTCTCATTCACTAGCTCCAGTGCCTAGATTAGTACTTGGCATATCCTGAATTGAATATTGAATTAGTGCATTTTTACCTGTTTGTTTCAGAGATATATATATGTGTGTGTGTGTGTCTGTGTATGTGTGTGTGTATCTTGTATTAGCTAAGCGATGTGAGTGGGGACATGGTTCCACAAAGATTAGAGATTCTGGATGTTGGGAAATATGTTTAAACAACAACATTTTTAGTTTTTTATCCAATTATATATTTTCTTACAACTGACAGTTTTGTGAAGGGCATATTAGAAAAACAAGGGAAATGTGTGTTTTGTTTGTTCTTATTCATTTTTAAAAATAGAAATTGATTTGAAGGCGGGGAATTTAAAAGCTCCTTTTTTTTTTTTTTTTTTTGAGACAGAGCCTCAAGCTGTCCCCCTGGGTAGAGTGCCGTGGCATTACAGCTCACAGCAACCTCCAACTCCTGGGCTCAAGCGAGTCTCCTGCCTCCGCCTCCCAAGTAGCTGGGACCACAGGCACCCGCCACAACGCCCAGCTATTTTTTGGTTGCAGCCGTCATTGTTGTTTTGGCGGGTCCGGGCTGGGGATTCGAACCTGCCACCTTAGGTGTACGTGGCTGGCGCCTTAGCTGGTTGAGCTATAGGCGCCGAGCCTAAAAGCTCCTTTTGTTTGAATTATGTCATTTGAATGTTTGGCAGAATTAAGCCTTAGTTTAAAAAATGTAATTGTTTATTTTAAATTTCAGAACTACCAATGAAATAAAAAACCTTCAGTACCTACCTCGAACCAGTGAGCCCCGTGAGATGCTCTTTGAAGACAGGACAAGAGCTCATGCAGATCATATAGGACAGGGTTTTGAACGACAGACTACAGCTGCTGTTGGAGTGCTGAAGGCTGTGCACTGTGGAGAGTGGTATATATAACTACTTCTATTTTAATGAAAGGCTTTCTTGGTTTCTTAATGATATAGTATTTTCTTTGGAAAGTTCTTTAGTAATTTATCTTATCAAAAATTTCATATTTTCCTCTATATTTGGGTATCCTCCAAATATAGACCTTAAATAAGACCTTAAATTGCTAAAATCTAGTCATAAGTCATTTGGGGTGACTGCAAGAATTAATTTCATGTTCTAAGCAATTAGAGGTGAAAAAAATGAAAAGGAAACCTAAGGTTTACTTTGTTGCCTATTTACAAATGTCATCTCATTTAATTTCTCTCAACTACTTTTTGGCCTCTATTTGTCACATAAGGAAACTAAAGGTTGGAGCTATTAAATAATTATTTTTACAGTCATAAAGTTAACAAGTGGTAGAGCCGAGATTTGATTTCAGATCTGACTTTGGTCAGATTCCTATGTTTTCTCTTCTGTTCTACTCTTGTTGTATCCTTTCTGGGGTTTGTTATCTCTTTATTAAGTATTGGTTTGCCTTTCCATATTAATTTTTTCCAGCTTTCCTTACAAGATTTGCTTTATTTTCCCAGTTCCAGACATCTATTAATCTATTTTCTGTTCTTTTTTCTTGTGTGTGTTTGTTATGTTTTTGAGATAGAGTCTCACTTTGTTGCCCTGGATAGAGTGCCATGGCATCATAGCTCACAGCAGCCTCAGACTCTTGGGGTCAAGCAGTTCTCTTGCCTCAGCCTCCTGAGTACCGGGGACTACAGGTGCCCACCACCACACCAGGCAGTTTTTAGCCCCCTAGCATAGGCTTGTCTTGAACTTAGGAACTTAGGCAATCCTCCCACCGTGGCCTCGCAGACTGCTGTGATTAGAGGCATGAACCATAGCACCTGGCTATTTTCTGTTTTTAATAGTTTAGTTTTCCCTAGTTAAGGATCTCACGTAGGAAGAATGATATATGTGTGTGATTTTTTTTTTTTTTTCACTCAGCATAACATTTTTTATATTCATCTATGTTGTTACATGTATTCTTTCCTTTTAATTTTTGGGTAATGTATTATTATATGGATATATTACAATTGGTTTATCCTTTTAAGTTATTTTCAATTTGGGGTTTTTAGGAATAAAGTTGTTACAAACATCTACTTACAAGTCTTTGTGTGGCCATATAATTAAATTTCTTTTCAGTAAATACAAAGAAATGGAATTATAAAGTGTTAAGGTAAGGCAAAAAAATGGTATACAGAGAAAATTCTAAATCCATAAAACACATACTAGAATTAATAGGTAAATTTCTTAAAGTTATAGGATAAAAGGTTGATAATAGAACAGTACATTTTATTTCTGTATATAAGTTATGAATATTTAGAAAATATAATAAAATTTAAAGCCAGAGTAGCATTAAAAAAACATAAAATGCTTAGAGATAAATTTAGAAAATACACAAGACCTGTATACTTAAAACTACAAAGTACTGTTGAGAAAAATTAAAGATGTGTATATAATGTCAGTTCTTTCTCAAATGATCTGTAAATGAACTCAATCCCAATCAAAATCCCACTAGGTCTTCTTATAGAAATACAAAAAAAAAATGTAGTATAGGCTAAACAACTTTTATGGGGAGAAAAAAAGAATAATGTTAGAGGATTCATGTTGTCATAATAAAACTTGCTGTGAAGTTTCAATAATTTAGAGAGGGTGATATTGGAATAAAGGTAGACTTAGAGATTATTGGAACATTATACTGTCCTTTAACCAGAAATGTTATCATTTATTTTTGATGAAGGAACTAAGATAAGTCAATGGGGAAAGGATTCTTTTCAAGAAATGGCATTGGGCTCGGCGCCTGTAGCTCAACCAGCTAAGGCGCCAGCCACATACACCTAAGGTGGCGGGTT